GCCTGTAACTTCTAGGTTGGGACAGATCCTGGTCTTCCTTTGGAATCAATGATATGAAGGCCGTTCTCCAAGATGGGGGTTACTCTGCTCCCGACAAGATATCATTAAAAAGTTCCTTTAATGGTTCTATCATTTCTTCAGATAGCATCTTATAATAAATTGCTGTTAACCCATCTGTACCTGGAGTCTTGCCAGCTTTCAATTGCTTAATTGCTGAAATAATCTCTTCAGAGGTAATTAAACCATTAATCCCATCACGTTGGTCACTCGTAAGTCTAGAAGAATGTGCTTCCAGTAATATTTTTCTATGTCTGAAGTTTGTATAATTTCACTAGCATATAACTTTGAATAAAAATCTAAAAAATACTTTTTAATCAAATTTTGTTGGTAGACTTCTTTACCTTTATAAATTATTTTATCTATAGTTCTCTATTTCTGTTTCTTACGTAATTGATAAGCCAACCATCTGCCAGGTTTATTTGCATTACAAAATGTATTATGTTTCATATACCTCAAATTAGTTGCCATCTGATCTGCCATTAACATGTTAAATTGCTCCTTAAGCAGAGTAATAGAAACCTTTAAATTATTATCCATTGGGTTTGATATTAAAATCTTTTCCTTACATTTAATCTCATCTTCAAGATCTTTACGTTTCTGAATCTGTGTCAGAATCCAATTATATTTCATCTTTAATTATCAAATATAGAAACTCCCAATTCTGCCTTCTCTGGATTCTGCCATAAGAGGGAGAGAAGGGGGAGAACAAAGGGGCTTTATGGCCCTCACTTCCTTCAGTATACTTCTAAGGAGCTGAATGCTGAATGTGTGTTTATTGCAACCTCAAAGAGTTAGCACCAAAGAACCTTACCATAACAAAGAAGGTTATTTGCCTTTCATGTAGTTTATCTGAAGTCTCCATCCAGACGGAAGAAAGAAAAAAGGGGGTGGAATTGTGATACCTGAAACTATCACTGGAAGGGGGGGTGATTGGGTGGGACTACTGGGGAACCCCTTAAAACCTTGAATGGGAGAGCTTGGACCCCAAGTCCTGTCTAGCACGCCTGCAACCACTTCTTCTTAATAAAGGATTCCTGTTGGAAGAATTATTCCAAGAGTTCTGTCTTCTTAAGATGCAAAGTGGGGTGGGTCCTTACAATCTGTTTACATCTATGAGCATTATTCATGGAAATCAAAATCCCTCTCATATATGCTTTGCTAGAATCCCATACCATTGGCATTGAGGTACCCTTATTCATATTCCAAACAAAAAATTCCTTTAAATAACCTCTACATCTCTGTATATTCTCTTCATATCTAAATAAATTCTCGTTCAACCTCCAAGACCTTCTAGTCCTTTCTTCCAATGAAATTTCCAACTATACAGGACTATGACCTGAAATTATTCTAGGAAATATCTTGATATTCTTCACCCTAGAAAGGAAATCATTAGTAACCAAAAAGAAGTCAATTCTAGAATAAGATTGGTGCCTATTTGAAAAAAAGGTAAAATCTTTTTCCTCAATGTTCCGTTCTCTCCAAATGTCTCTAATTTCAAAATCGTCCTTTAAATCAAAAAAGGCTTTAGGAAGTTTTGCATGATTAGAAACTTTAGAAGAACCCTTCTTACCTTTACTTGAGTCTAGAACACCATTCCAATCTCCCATCATAATAACTGACTTGTAATCCAAAGAAGTTAATTTCTGGTGAATCATCTTATAAAAATATTTTTGTTGTTGATTGGGAGCATATAATCTGACAAGAAGAGTTCTCTTATCATTTATTAATAAGTCAATAATAACATATCTTCCTTGTGGATCAAAATCAATTAGCTTTGGTGAAAGCTCCTTTCTCACATAAATAACTACACCTCCTTTTTTCTGCAAAGCAGGAGCTATAAAATGTACCCCCAGCTGGGGCTTAAACAAATATTTTTGATCTTTAGAAATAATATGAGTCTCTTGTAAACAAATAATATCATTTCTGTGTTGTTTCAAATAATGGAAGATTTTCTTTCTTTTCTGTGGTGAATTAAGACCATTAACATTCCAAGTTAAAAGCTTTGCCATTCTTGGCAGATTGAAGCCTTTGGAACAAAACCTCTAGATTTGCAGTCGATGACCTCTTTGGCCTTGCTCCCACTGGCTCCGAAGTAGACTGTGATGAAACTCCATCATCTACCTTTTGTTGTTGTTGTTGTCTTTCTCTATGTTTATGAGCGTGTGTAATTAATTCTCTGTTCCCTTGGGTCTTCCATTATTTGCAAATTCTGTTGCATAGATTCAACCAATAATTCTTCTCCCAAAGATGGCATTGAACCTATAGCCAACTGTGCTTCTGCCTCATCTTTTTTTGATCTTGGAGATGGTGGTAGACTTTCTTTTTAAATAGTAACATAGAAATCTCTTGCTTTTGAAATTGTATTAAGACGATATCGTGTGCCAACCTAGGTCACTACTATCCCCACAGGTATATCCCATCTGAATTGAATTTGTCGTTTCTTAAGTTCTTCAGCCAAAAAAGCAAAGTCTTTTCTTTTTCTGAGAATTTTGGAAGGTATTTCCTTTAAAACTATCACATCCTGAGCTGCAATCTGAAATCTTTGCTTATAGAAAGCCTGTATAATTTCATTACGAAGAGATTTTCTTGCAAAGTAAACCAGCACATCTCTTGGTAATTTTGTCTGTTTTGCAACCCACGAATTAACTCTGAAGATCTTTTCTATATCTCTCAACATTACTTCAGGGTCACATTCCAAAATAGAAGCCAGTTCTGCTGCAATTTCTTCTTTCAAATTCACCTGGACATTTTCTTTCAAGCCTCTTACTCTCAAAGCATACTCCATTTCTCTATATTGTGACATTATAATATCATTCTGTGCAACATCCACATTATCTTCTATTTTTTCAACTCTATCTTGTAATATTTCAACATTTCCAACCACCTCATCCACCCTGTCGTCAATCTTTTCCACAAGGCCAGCAAGCCCTTGGAGTGCAAACATAATATCTTCCCTCAGCTCATTATTTTTTTGAGCCAGGAGCTCTGCTGTTTTTTCTAGAGTCTTATCTAAAGCATCTTATAAGTCCTTAAGTGTAATTATCTGAGGTGGAGGAGAAGGTGGAGAAGATTTAGGTTTAGGTAGTTGTACAGTCTGAGTTACTGGAGAGGAAGTTGAAGTCTTAGGAAGAGAAAAAGGTCCAGGACGTTTTGAAGCCATTTAAAAAAAAAATTCCTTTCCCTTTCTTTCAAAAAATAATAAAATAAAAATAAAGGAGAAGAAAAAGCAATTTCCCCTTTAAAAGGAAAGATTTTCTTTAAGTAAACCAAGTCTATTATGTTGTTGAAACTTTGTTGCCAGTTAGAGATAGTGAATGAAAAGTAAAAAGTGAAAGGTCTCAGACAAAGAAAGTAACAAAGAAGCAGGATTCCTCCACCATATTTCTTCACTCCAATTGAAATAATAACAGGAGAAGGTGTTAATTCCCACTGAGTTAAGTTTAAAATAAAATCATCCAATTCTTGTCTTCCTGACCGCTCTGTCTGCTTTTAAGTTGGCTTACTGTTTTCATTTAAGCAGCAGCAGTGGAGGCAGAGTCTAGCTTCGTTCTCCCGCCGGAGAACAAAGGCGTCCAGGGAAACGGAGCAATACCCAGACTCCGAGGGAGCTCTCATTGTTCGTCTCCCAGGAAAAAAACTTTGGGAGACTGGTGAGGCTCTACCTCTATCCAGGGAAAAGCTCACCTTCCTCCCTTCGCCCGGGAGGAAGGTTTCAAGCCGCAAAACAGCTGATTGACGCTGTTTTGCCGGCTTTTACGCGTCCCTGTGATGGACGGCTGTCAGATAGCCGCCATCGTCACGGCGCAGCCACCGGAACTCTCTGCATTTCACTTTTCTTGCCCTTGGTGCAGACTGGACACAACTGATCAAGTTATAGAGAGTAAATTAATACTGTGTGTATCAAAGTCCAGGTGCATCAAGATACAACTTATAGAGGTGGTCAGTACTGAGAGGTTGGCTTTCTATTGTGTACATATAGTGTATGTCCGGTCTACGAAAATTAGATCAACTTAGGGAGATGGTCAATGTAGGGAGGTGGTCAACTATGGAGGTATTACTTTAATTGTTATTTAAAAAGATTAATGATAAAAGCAATACAAATATTTTAAAAAAACAAGGAAAATACAGAAAAATAGTAACAGAAAAAGTAAAGAAAAAAACAAAAAAACAACAGATTTTAAAGAAGCAGCTTCCAGTCTTTTTGATATGGCTATAAATGCATTTATATTTTACCCTCTCTCTCTAAAGTTACATCATAATTTCCATCTTCCATCTATCTTCTATCCTTTCTAATTGACAAGCCTATAAATCACAAGCTCATTTTATTTTTTTTAGCAAAAAAAATCCATAAAGGGTTTCCAATAACTAATAAATTAATTGATTTTTCCTAAGCCTATTAGTTAATTTTGTCATCTCTACTACTTTCATCGTCTTCATCAACCATTCTTCTATTTTGGGAATTTCAAAGTCTTTTCATTTTTGTGCATATAGAGTAATAATCTTGCAGCAGTGATAATACAGTGGTACTTTGGTACTCAGCTGCTTTGAAACTCATTGAATTTGGTATTCAAAGCATTTTGATGTGAAAATTTGTTCCGATACTCATAGTTTGTTTGTTACTCAATGCACAAGCTAGAATTTTTCTGTCAGCTGCCTTGTGACTGACTACATTATTCCTTATGGGAAAAATTTGTTTGCTACTCATTGTTTTTGGTACTCATCATGCCTCCCAGAACCAATTAACAATGAGTACCAAGATACTATTGTATATAAAAATAATTGTGTTTCTTTTTTAGTTGCCTAGCCATTAATCCCAACAAGAAGTAATCATAAATCTATGAGCAACTTCATTTTGGTGAATATGGTAAAATGTTGAATGCTTTTATATATTAATATCCTTTTTTTAAAAAATCTCTCTCTCTCCCTTTCTGTCTTAACAGTGATTGGTACAAAGTGACCTACATGCCTAAAGGGTGGCAAGGAAAATTAGAAGACAGCTAAAGCTCAGTCATGTTTTCTGTTTGGCACACTATTCTCTCTCTTCATGGGAACTACAAGAGGTTGGGTTACCTCTTAATCTTCACTGTAAGTGTATGTTGTAGTACCTCTTTAATGTGCCCCACCACTTGCATCTGTGCCAGTGACATTACGAGCTGCACCAGCAGAAACCTCTCAAGGGTGCCATCAGCTCTTTTCAAGCACATAAAAAGACTCGATCTGAGTCACAACAGAATTGGGGTTTTGGATCAAGACTGGATACCCATGCTGCTTGAGAAGTTGAACACCCTCATCCTCAATCATAACAATATTTTCAGTATTTCTATTGGGAGCTTCTCAGTTATTCCAAATGTCAAGTACCTAGACCTGTCATCCAACAATTTGAAGTCATTGGGCAGTCCTATATTTCAGGAACTGAGAATGCTGGAGGTTCTGTTGCTTTATAATAATCATATTGCAAAGGTTGATTCTGCTGCTTTTGGAGGAATTCATACCCTGCAAAAGCTGTATTTAAGTTATAACTCTCTCACACACTTCCCAATTGAACTCTATACTGGGAAACACAAGCTCTCAGAACTTGTGTTCTTAGATGTTTCTTACAATCGGATCCAGTCAATACCAATTAATGGCATGAGCTTAGTACCAGCCCGACACTTAAGTGGAATTTATCTTCATGGGAACCCATTTCATTGTGACTGCATACTTTATTCCATGCTGAACTTCTGGTATCTTCGACATTTTACTTCAGTGGAAGACTTCAAGACTGAATACACATGCAATAAAGACTCCCAAAAACTGCCTTTATTGCAGAACAATTATTTAAATTGCTCAGAAAGCACCATTAATGGTTCTTTCCATGCCTTTGGTTTTATTCATGAAGCACAAATTGGTAAGAGGATTATAGTACCCTGTGATACCAAAATCAGTGATGCTGGGACTAGTTTTATTTGGATCAGCCCAGATAATCAAGTTTTAGAGCCAGGAAAAACAACTGAACAGTTCAAAGTATTTCATAATGGAAGCCTGGAAATAGATGATGCTCAGTATGAAGACGCTGGACTTTATTCCTGCATTGCAATAAATAAGAAAAGATTATTGAATGAAACAATTGAAGTAAGAATAAATGTCAGCAATTTCACAGTGGACAAATCTTACTCTCATGAAACATTTAACACTGCTTTTACAACCCTTGCAGCTTGTGTAGCCAGTATTATTTTGGTTCTTCTTTACCTCTACTTGACACCCTGTCCTTGTAAGTGCAAGTCAAGGAAAAGGCAACTGAACCAAAGTAGCACATCTAATGCATCCATACTAACCTCCAACACACCCCTCAAACTTCCAGCAGATGAGAAGAAAGCTAGCTGTGGCAAAAAGGTGGTGTTTCTTGAACCTGTGAAGGAACCTAAACCAAGTCAAAATGGAAAAGTCAGAATGTTTCCCAATGAGACTGTAATTGCTGAAAGCATCCTGAAAACACCCCAAACAAAATCAGACTCTAATTCCACAAACCCAGCATTCTCGGACATACCTTTCATGCCATCTTCTTAAGTTTTCCTCCTACACTGATGTCATAATCCTCTTAGTAGCAGCCACAGCTTTATCCAATGTTGAAAGAAAAGTCATGGAAAACTTTGATTTTTTAAATCCTGAAGGTTAAAGTTAATTGCTGTTAACTTTTTGTTCCTTCTCAGTGGGAAGAATATGCGTTAATCTTAAAACATTCAGGAGGAGCTCGTTGTTACATGTAGCAGAGTAGAGTGGTATACCTTGCATTCTTACTAATCTTTCCTCTGAAGTGAATTAGGAGGTAGCCTTATGGAGGAACTTGTCTGAATATGGTTCTCATTCGGTGGAAGAAAGCTTATACAGCAGGGTCCCATCAACTTAGGCCCTTAGTTGCTTCACTGTATAGAATCAGTGAGATTGTATTATCAGGGATGAGACTTTTAATCAAGTATGTCTTATAGAGTTTATAGAAGAACAAAATAGCCATTTATTCAATTTCTGTTCATTGCCTTGAGATACTGGGTACATAAAGAAGCAAATAAATTTATATAACCCAGAATATTCTGAAGTAATGTTTAATATTTAGATAAATTTCAAAACTGGACAGGGATTAGGTTTTTCTTTTTCTATAATGAATTTTAAAATCTAGGAATGTAATGTATGGTAAATCTAGTAAGAGATAAACTTCAAAAAATGATAACTTTTACAGAAATCATGCTGTCCAGAGATATGGCTATTAAACCACTTAAGCCTTGAAGGCCTGTATTTCAGAAGGGATATCACTTCAGGCTTGTTAAGAAACCCATAATTCAAAAGTATTTAAGAAGTACTGTTTTTCCATCTAATTATGGTGAGGACAGAGATGCATTATTGGAATTTCTGTCTTTATAGGTCTTAAAGGGATAAGAGCCATGATAATGTAGAAGTATATCCAGCCTATTTGTTTGGATTAAAATTTAGGCATGTGTGTTGTGTGGACTGAGCAGAAAATGTCTACAAAAATGAATGCATAGAATTAATTTTGTAAAATTATTGATATTTGTGCAATTAGATATTTTATTAGTATTAGTTCTACTGCACTTTGACTATTTTTGATGAACTATTTACAGCCATAATCTAAATTGTTGATCCCAAGATAAATGTTGCATTCACATCAATGACATGAATGCCTAGACTTTACCTTCTGTAGAACCTAGACTCATTAAATTTGATGGTTTAGAGCTTTATTTGAAAAATTCAAAGTAATTAAGCTAATTCTATTTGTCATTGTTTAATGTGGAACTATCAAAGCAACAGATCCAGGAAGCTTCCACCTTGTGAGGTTCTGATATAAAATTGACAATTAAATAATAATTTCAGGATGATCAATTCCATTAGAAAGCTGGAGCTTTGTACAAGTCAAATTGTATATTTTAGCATAGTTTTCTGTTAGTAAAACAATAAGTTACTTATTTTGCATAGCGTTGTTTGTCCCATTTGGGTTCCTGTCAAATTGATAGTCATTTCTGCAGTGACATGTGGAATAACTTACATTCTCCAGCAGGATGGCTGTAGAGTCCAATGGATGGATTCTATGACAGCCTTCCTGCCCGGCAGACTGGGTAAAAAACTTTGGCCACACTCCTTCCTCTGGGCGTGACCCCAGTTTTGACTCAGTCTCGAAGCCCGATAGCAGTGCGAGATTCAGCTCTTCAAAAATCCATAGCTTAAGACAAAATCTCCCTCTTCCCAGACTGAATTTCCAGACGAAATTAGCAATAACAAGACCTTTAGCAGCTGGCTCAGACCGGATCTCCACCCAACGGAGGATCATCGGAGCGGTGAGAGTATCCCCAAGGGCTAGGGAGACCAGCCAAGGGGTTCGGGGGGCTCACCGGGTCGTTTACCGACCCCCAGCACATTTATCAGCCGATCGGCGTGGGGCCCTCCCCCCCCTTGCACTCAAAGCCTGAAAGGGCCGCTTTAGCCGGCGTTCGCCTCCTGGCTTGCCCCCCCCTTTTTTCCTTTGCCGGCGCGCAGGGAGGACAAGGAAAATTTCAGAGCCGGCAGCTAGAACTGCCATTGTGAGCCTCGTGGTCTCCATAGGCTGTGGTTGGGGGGAGTGGCCTCCTCCAATTCGCCATTTTGAACGAGCGGATTAACCCGCCGTTCCATTGTGGGTGGGGCTTTTCGCCATCCGGAGGAGCCTACTTGCATTACAAAGAGGGAAGAGGGGGAAAATAGGCAAACTGCAATCAATTCGAACGTGATCTGTTTTTACAGTCACAAATTGGGGGAGTTAAAGTCACCAGTTGCATTGTGTTGGACCAGGGCTGAAGAGTCCTGGGATTAGGTGAGGAGGTGAGGAGGAATAATTTTCTCTAACTGTTCATATAGTGACCTTTAGTCACTGCTTTGCAGGATCTCCTGTCCAAAGAATCCTGTCTGTCCGGCCATTGTTGGTATAGGCAGAGGAGGGCTCAGCCCCAAGCATCTGCATCTGATCTGCGTATCTTATTCCCCCACTCCAGGCATTACCTACTCGGGGTGTCTGGCACAATGGCAGACAATGTCTCGTATTCAGTCACACAGGTCCCTCAATTGTCCCCCCCACAACAGCAGCAAAAACGCAGATCCTCTGAACCAGAGGTGGGGGGGAAGAAGAAGGCTAAAACAAAGCATCTTACTCAGAAGGGACAATCTAAAACGGCTGAGCGAGAGGCTTCGAGGAGACATTTGGCTTTAGAAAGACAAATTAGCAGGGCACAGAGAACCAATTCCACTGGGACAAGCATGGTTTCCCCTGTCCCAGTGGTGACACCCATCTCAGAACCTACTGCCCAGGAAGTTCTCAAAACTTGGTCTCCTCCTGGGGAAACTGAACAGTTAGATTCCTCTACTCCCTCCTCACCAACTTCTTCACCCGACCACACTCCAGCGTGTCATTCCAGCGACAAAGCGCAGGAGAACATATGGTCGGCACGATTCCAGGCATTCATGCAGGATGCCTTTTCCCAGTTCATGGCTTCTAAGGGACAAGTGGCCTTTCACACACCCCATAAGGGACGACCCAGGCCGCCCCCTACCAACATTTCTGAGACTTCCTCTCAAATAGGAGAGGGTGACTCATTAGACCTTGATATGTCAGACATGCCCCTTTCGGAGGATGAGGAGACCGCACCTGAGCAGGCGACGAGCTCTGGCCTCTTTAACCCTGCGCTCCTAAAATCACTCCTGATAAAGGCAGTCTCCACAGTCAGCCTAACTTCAGTACAGGAGGAGATGCCCTCTACAAGCAAGGAGGCCAATCCTCTATTTGCCAAGAAGGTCTCACAGGATAAGTACATTCCATGTCCGGAGGTCTTCATGACCACGGTAGAGGAACAATGGTCCTCACTGGCAAGCCCACCGGCGCCCAATAGCGTGGAAAGAAAGCTGTTCAACCTTTCTCCCTCATTCTCGAACATGTTAGAGGTTCCTATGGTAGATAACCCCTTGATCTCATTATTTTCTACCTCCGCGATTCCAGAGACATGGCGGAAGCCTTGAAACCGGAAGAAAAGAAATTTGAACACTCCCTCCGTCGCTCCCACATGGCTGCAGCCTGGGCGGCCAAAGCAGCCACCTCATCATCATTCTTCGCGAGGGCCTGCATTATGTGGCTGAGGGAGCTGCAAAGCACGGTGCCTCCAGATCAGGTCAGAGTACACCAGACATTGGCCAAGCTCCTCGCGGCCTCTCAATTCACGGCTGACGCTTCGCTGTACGCAACGAAGTACGCGGCAAGATCCATTGCGGCCACAGTAGCCTCGCGTAGGCTACTGTGGCTCAAAAATTGGAAGACAGACCTGAGGTCCAAGTGGCGTCTCTCGACGTCCAAATACAGCGGGGCATTCCTATTTGGGTCCATACTGGACCCACATGTCAGTGAAGGCAGAGACAAGAGGAAAATATTAGTACACCCATCAAAGAAGTTTGATAGGAGAAGCAGTCAAGACTTCCGGAGACAGGACTCCCGCCCAGGAAGCCCCTGGGAATGGAGGCAGCCCTTTCGGTCAGGGCAATCCTGGGACTGGCCCAGAGGCTCGCGATCCTTCTATCCGAGACAGGATCGACCCCAGGATCGCCAAAACACAGGAGCCAGAGGCCAGTTCCAGTCCAGACGCCCATATAGGGGATCGGGAGGCAGATCCTTTAAGCGCACCAAGTGACGCCAAACAGGACACTCCCATCGGGGGTCGGTTAGGAAATTTCATCGAGGTCTGGGAGCAGACCACTACCGACTCCTGGGTCTTGGAAACGATCAGGCATGGCCTGACCTTAGACTTCTGTTCTCCCCCACCAAGCCGGTTCATCAGATGTCCCATCTCCAGAAAGGTACACAAGGCAAGGTTGCTAACTTTGGCCATAGCTCACCTCCTGTCAATTCAAGCCATAGAGAGGGTACCAAGGGGAGAGGAAGGAAGAGGATTTTATTCCATCCTCTTCGTTATCCCGAAGCCGTCAGGAGGATGGAGAGCAATATTGGACCTGAAGGGCCTGAATTATTACATAAAATACAGGAGGTTCAAGATGCACTCCTTGAAATCCATCCTAGCCAGCATCAGGGAAGAGGATCTACTATCCTCAATAGACCTAACAGAGGCGTACCTACACATCCCTATTCATCCCAGCTACCGGAAATTCCTCAGATTCACCTACGCGGGCCGACATTACCAATACAGGGCCCTACCCTTCGGACTATCCTCAGCGCCAAGGGTCTTTACCAAGATTCTAGCTGTAATAGCGGCCCATCTCAGACTGATGCCGGTTCGCGTACAGTTCTATCTGGACGACATCTTGATCCAGTCCAGATCTCAGGAACAAGCAAGGGTAGATCTCAAGACCACAATCCGAGCCCTGCAGGGGCATGGATTCTCGGTCAATTTGGCCAAAAGTCATCTCACTCCCTCAAGGAGACTGCAACACCTAGGCGCAGTAATAGACTCGTCACAGTGCAGGGTATACCTTTCCCAGGATCGACGAATCAGCATATCCAAGCTAATTCAACAAATTCAGAGAATCAGGAGAGTGCCCTTGATACAGCTCTCGAAACTCCTGGGAAAGATGATATCTTGCATGGGCATTATACCATGGGCAAGACTCCACTCGAGGGAGTTGCAGTGGTTCCTCCTACCCTACCAGAGGAGGAATCTCAGCACCTCCAACAGGAAGGTCTTGGTACCAGCACAGGTGATGAGATCTCTGAAATGGTGGATATCTCCCAAGATACTCAAGGGGAGCATATTCAAAGAGCCGAACAGGGTCACGCTCACGACAGATGCGAGCCTGTTCGGATGGGGAGCCCACTTGGGAACCCAGATAGCACAGGGCCAGTGGGACCAGAAGGACCTCTCACACAGCATCAATTGGCTAGAGCTCCGGGCCATCCACCTGGCCCTACGCCATTTCTCACATCTAGTAACAGGGAGGCACGTCCTCGTGTTAACGGACAATGTAGCAGCCAAGGCCCATGTAAACAAGGAAGGGGGAACGCGATCAGCGGAACTAATGAAGAAGGCGTTAGCTCTGGCTCGGTGGGCAGAAACCAACGTGAGTTCTATCAAGGCAGAACACATCTCGGGGGAGGCAAACACCCAGGCAGACTGCCTGAGCAGAGCCAAGGTGGATCAGGCGGAATGGCGCCTGGATCCGGCTCTGTTCGAGGAGATCTCCCGGAGATTCGGGCAACCGCACCTGGACCTATTTGCCAACCACAAGAACACACAACTCCCAAGGTTCTTCTCCAGATTCCCGTCTCCGGGGTCGGAGGGAACGGATGCTCTCAGGTGTCGGTGGCCGGCGCATCTCCTGTACGCCTTCCCACCGTTGCCCTTAATACCGGCGACCATACGCAAGCTGATCCGGGAAGGCGCAGAGATAGTCTGCATTGCCCCGCATTGGCCACGGCGCCCGTGGTTTGCCGACCTCGTGGACCTTTCGATATCACCCCCGTGGAGGATTCCCCCGGACAGAGTAACTCTCAGCCAGGGCAAGTTTGTGCACCCAGACCCCCAGTGGCTACAACTAGCCGCTTGGCATTTGAGCGGCAAAGTTTAGCCGAGCAAGTTTACTCGGCAGGGGTGATATCGATCATACAAGCTTCACGACAAGCGTCCACGAACAGGATTTACGATGCTACATGGAAAGGCTTTTGTAGGTGGTGCGCTTCTGTGCGCCTAGATCCAGCTACAGTATCCATCCCCAATATTCTAGATTACCTCCTGGAGGGTCTTAACAAGGGCCTGTCAGTCAACACTATTCGCAGACAGATATCGGCCCTCTCAACTGTTCTCTCTTGCGACAACTTGACATCCCTAGCGCAACATCCAGTGATTAGCGCCTTTTTAAAGGGGGCGTCCAAAACAAAGCCCCCCGTCATTCACAGGTACCCGTCTTGGGACCTGCCTAAAGTCCTTCTAGCCTTGACATCATCACCATTTGAGCCCCTTGATTCATGTTCTCTTCACCACCTATCGCTGAAGGTGGCCTTCCTCGTGGCAATCACTTCAGCAAGAAGAATTTCAGAACTAGCGGCACTATCAGTAAGGAAGGATCTGTGTACCTTCTTCAAGGACAGGGTCATCCTTAGGCCAGACCCGGCCTTCATTCCGAAGGTAAACAGCATCTTTCACAGATCTCAGGAATTGATTCTTCCCGATTTCTGCCCAAAACCCAAACACAGGCTAGAGCATAGATGGCACAAGCTGGACGTGCGTAGAGCGCTGTGTTTCTACGTGAAACGCACGTTGACATTCCGCAAGACAGAAGCATTATTTGTTTCCTTTCAACCATCATCTATGGGAAAGAAGGTGTCTTCTTCCACCATAGGTAGGTGGATCAGAGCCTGCATAGCCCAGGCCTACGTCTCGCAGGAACTACCAGCACCCGCACATGTGACTGCCCACTCAACACAGAGCGCAGCCACTTCGGCGGCGTGGCTAACACAAGCGCCGGTAGAAGAAATTTGTAAGGCAGCGACGTGGTCTTCACCGTCTGTCTTCATCCGGCATTACCGTTTAGACTCCCTGGCCGCATCAGATGCTGCCTTTGGTAGAAGAGTGCTACAGCAAGTCGTATCTGCTCAGAATTCGGTAGCCTAGACTTCCCTCCCAGGGGGACATGAGGGCTTTGGTATGTCCCATCCATTGGACTCTACAGCCATCCTGCTGGAGAAGGGGCGTTGACTTACCTGAACGCCTTTTCTCAGCAGGATGATGTAGAGTCCAAGCCCACCCAGGGGTTAGGTCTAGGCAGGTAGGTAATAAGAGCTGCAATATTGATTCCAACAAAGTTTCTCGCCTAAGTCAAAACTGGGGTCACGCCCAGAGGAAGGGGTGTGGCCAAAGTTTTTTACCCAGTCTGCCGGGCAGGAAGGCTGTCATAGAACCCATCCATTGGACTCTA